AAAAAATAAATGTAACTATCAAAGAGTCAGAATCAACCAAGAACTCCTCTACTGAAAACAAAACGCCGAGCCACAGTTTTTTATATCAAATTCAGAAAGTAGTCGAATGAAATAAATAAATAGAAAGGAAAGTGTTAGTAGCTCGTCTCGTACCTAAACCATCATGCTCGGGAGAATCGAGTAGAATGTCCGTATCGGAAAGTAATAACGGGGAACCAGGATAACTTTGCAGAGCTCCTAAATCTGTATTCACCGTTGATCAAATATCGAAAAATATTATTCAATTATCTGTTAACATATACACATTCAAGCAATATAAAATAATTATATGATACCCACTAGCTATAGTAAAACATCGAGTTTATTGCATTTAGTACCCTCTATATTATATCGAATTGCTAAAAATACTCCCCGTTTTATAAATGTTCGCAAAAACCGCCTTATAATGCATCTTTAGGGGGTAGTTTGCTAAAAGAAATTGAATCATATGGGGTTTTTCTGCTAATAAAACATGGGGAGTTTTTTAACAATTAGAGAAAATACAGGGGTGTGGAATGCAATAATGTAACCAAAAGTATTCACATTCCCTAATATGTACATTTTCCCAAAATAGTTACTTAAAAAAATTAATAAAAAGCAACAAATATTGCAAGAAATTATACTAAAAAAAGCTATTGCTAAAGTTACCTCCCAAGTTCGATAAATCTGCGGTTAAGTCCGAAAAGCTAAAATTCCACGGAATCTCAGCCAATGATCTCGGAGAATCTCCGGAATTTCCTGCTCCGTTATCCGCATGAAGATCCAGTCCAACCGAACTTGCCACGTCAGATGTAAAAGCCGTGTCGAGAGCCGAAGAATCGACTGCCATGCCCGACATTTCCGATGCACTAAAAGCAAAGTGGCCACTCGATGCCATTGATGCAGGGCTGGCAGGCATAGACGAAATCGCATTATTTTGCGGCATAATATTATTAGGTGCCGCGTCAGCTCTACAGGTGTCCATCGCCATACTGCATCGAAGAAAAAAAAGACAATTCAGTACTCGTGTTTGAGGTTGCTTATTTTATAGAATTAAAACATTACGCAAAATTATATTAAAATATTCTCACTCGTTCCTCATCGGAAAAAAATTGGCGGGAGCAGGAACACCGTTGGCAACGTGGTACATAGGATCGATGTTCATATGATGTTGTAACGTAGCGGGAATCGGAAACTGCTGCGTAACGGGGTACCCCATAGGTAAATTGTTGACTGCACTGCAAAATAGTCAGCATTGAATAATGACGGTAATATATGATCAATATAATTGCAACTTATATTTATTAATAAAAGAAAAAAAACGGGGATTTTACCAGGCATTGGATGAAATCCATTCTGGATTATCGGCGCCATAGGAACTACTTTTGGAGGCGGTTGAAACTTCATTACATGATATTGATGCTCGAGAAGGTGGTTGAACAAGATTATTTGTTTCTTTAATTTAAGCCTTATATAGTAGGCTCGGAAAAAGTCGGCATTTTCTTCTTCTAACTTCTGCCACACTGCATTTTTTACCATTAAAATAAATAGCAAATACAAATAATTACATATAAATTCTTGAAGTTACCTACCTAAGGATGTGAATCCGGGATCTATACTAGCACGATTGAGTAAGGTTTTTACCACCTCGTCTCGATTCATGTATAGCTGTAAACAACGTTCGATCAAATTCTGCACCTATAGAATATTACAACCGAAAAATTCAATTTAGTCGTAAGAAATCCAAAAAAAGAAAATCAAGAAAAATGAAAACCGAGAGAAATCGAATCACTACAAGTTGAATATCTTCGCGGGAGACTTTTTTATTGTCGTTGCTCGAAGCTGAAATCGATCCAGAGTCTGGTACAGGAGTTTCGTTCGCATTATTCGGTAGTACATTTTGGGAATCATGTGTAACAAGATTAGTCGGCTTTATTTCTTGTGCGTCTGACTGATCCTATACAAAAAAATAAAAACCAACTCAAAGATAAACTACACGAATCAAATACCAAAGTATAAAACATAGGTCGTTCTTCGAAAAACAAATAAAAATACGAAATAAGAAATAAACCTGCACACTCCTCATTTTTAGCTAAAAGAGCATTGATTGTGCTTCTCCATGAAGCTCTACTATCGTACAGCTCAACAAAAAGTCTCGACTTTTAAGTGAATGCACCACAACAACAAACTAAATCACTCCCTCCACCTGAGAAAGAAAACTCATTACTTAGCCTTCATATTAATCGGAAAAAGATAAGTGACTACGCATTTACTATATCACACTATCAATAATCGAAAGGAGCCAAATTCCACAAGCAACATCAATCGATTCCAGAAGAAAAAAAAACGTTTCTCCGTAATTCTTTTTGCAGAAAGATTCCTCTTTTCCCTTAATTTTCCTACCATTACCACAGCTAAATTACGAACACAAATCAACTAACCAAGACTAAAAAGAATATTCCTATAATTTTAACATTCTATCATCCTAAAAAAGAATATACATTTGGTAGCTTCAGTTAGCAGATTCCAAATCAAGATTCGTGCTTTTTAATCCACCAGACTTCATTTCATCAATTTCAAAACAACAAGACACTAAAAAGAACTCCAAAAACTAAAAATGGGTAAAAATAATACAGAAATAATTTCACAATCGAATTAAAAAAACCATAAAAACATCGACTAATTACAGTCAGTAGTAAGCAAAATATCCAAAATAAACCCACACATACCGAAACCGAAACCGAAAAACACCCACATATTCAAGAACATAAAGAAGAAAAAAAAAAGCAGTATATACCCTTGCAAACAGCATTCCAGCTTCAAATGCTTAGAAATTTCCCATCTTTTATGGATATATCGACAAATTAATCAATCCCAGGTAACCAAAATTGCAGAATTTAAGCTCAAAAAAGGTGTCTTGAATATGAAAAATGACAAGTATAAATTCAAGAACTCTTCATCGAACCAACTAACCAAGGTTGCATTGTAGAAAGGAGGAATATTTATGTCAATTTCTTATGAATGAAAAAAAAAAAAAAAGAATGGTAGCATTCGAATTTGTGGGTAGGAATTCTTTTTTTCTTTTTAATATTTTTTTTAAGTGGCGGTTTGTTAGAATTACCAGGTTTATACGGTAAATATAAGTAACACCAAATATAGTCGATTTGTTTGAACTTGATTTGACGAGCAATCGAGTTAGCCCGAACAAATTTTATTCGGAACGAGTCGAGTCCGAGTAACTTGATTTTTATTGATGAATTAAAGTAACAAATACTCCATAGTGTGTGTTGTGGAGGGTGGAATGGTGGGTTTCAATTATCAAAAAAGAATGGTGGGTTTCAATAATATGAGGGGGGTCTAAGAAAAGGACCAAATTGCAAAACCACAAATTGTCACAATAGTTTGTTTTTTTTAGGTGCCCATAGTATTCTTGGCCTTTTCCATGTACTCAACCATCATATATTAACTCTACTTTTGTGTTCAATTGATGGGTCCCACTTCCTAGATCTCCATTTGCCCATCAAAAAACTGATTTTTTTTTTTTTTTTATAATTTATTATTACCAGATCCTATGGATTGAATGCAACCTGGACCACTGTCTTCAATCATACATCTTAAGTTAGAAAAACTCAACAACAAATGTCAAGTAATTATGTCCTAATATTGTTGGGCTTGAAATAAGCACTTTATAATTGCAGTTAGGTTTCTAAACATTGCTCCTTTGAGAAATTCACCTATCAAAGCAAATTCATAGGGATGCGGTCGATAATAAATCAACGCGAATCATCTGAATTATGATCTTCAAATTCCCGGGAACTCATCAATCAAGAAACTTCTTCGACTGAGAAACCGGTAGTGTTACCAAAAAAGATCGAGAAATATCGGAAAACGTAAAAGATGATTAAAATATCAATAAATTTGCCTCTAACGACAATTACACTATTTATATGCTTGGTTAGTTTTCTTATGGGCCGGAGGCGTATATTGATATTTGCCTATAATTGGGCTCATGTCTTTAATTAAGAGTTTAAGACTCATTTGGTTGGCAAGATTAGCCAAAATTAACTAAATAGTAATATTTTAGGCCCACATACATCATATAAGTCCATTATATTGGGTCATGTCTTTAATTATGAGCTTTAAGGGCTTTTAATATCTTTTGACGTGAGAGATTTAGCATTTCATATTTTGAGGGTGTTTGGCTAAGCTTATTTTAAACAGCTGATAAGCTCCTACGTCTGATAAGATGTTTTAAGAGCTGATAAGTTGTTACATCTTATTTTTATGATTAATTTTTAGAGTGTTTGGATAATTAGCTTATTTCCTATTTTTACTCATAATAAGATCTTAAATAAAAATGTGGGGTAGAGGTACTTTTTTAAGATCTTATTTGCTCTCCAACAGCTTATTTTAAAAAAAAATAAGATATTTTCTAAAAAAATTACCAAACACTTTGGAAGAGCTTATAAGCTCTAAAACATCTTATAAGCTCCTTTTAACATCTTATAAGCTTAGCCAAACACTCTCTTATTTAATAATCAGAGTTCTCAATTAAAAAAACTGAAATGCTAAATCTCACACGAAAATTACCGAATCACGCACATAAATAAAAAACTTTCTCTCTCTAAAATCTGCCAACGCAGAAAAAGAAGCCCCTACCCGTCTTCCGTATTCTACGACAAAACCACACACAAAAAATTACAAGTTGAAATTTGAGGAAAATCTTTGCAAATTAAAGTTGCATTTAAAATAATGTTCTATAATTAGCTATTAATTTCATGGATGGAACAAATTTCCACGAATTTACCGCTGTTTTTATAGTTTTTCTTAAAACAAAATAAAATAAAACAAACTGCATTTTTCGCTCGATTTTGGTCGTCAGTGGTGTGTGACAGCGTGTAGAGTGGTTTTGGCGGATGCCTGTGAGAAGCAACGTACATCGGTAGCTGGGTGGGCGTCCATGGCGGGGAGGTGGGGTGTTGGGCGGCGGGGATGGTGGGGTTAGGTTTTTTTTTTTTTTTTTTTTTTCTTTTTTTTCTTTTTTTTTTATTATTTTATAATTTGTTGATAATTATTTAAATATTTAACTAATGTTATTAAGCTATTAAAACAATAATTAAAAAAACTTATTAAACACTGAATAAATGTTTTTTAATAATTGATTTATAAATAAATTAATAATTATTTAAAATAAATATATGGTTTTTATGTCAAGAAAAAGGGAATAATTTTGAGCAAAAAACAAGTTAGAGAGAAGTGGAAGAAAAAATGGGTAGGGAGAGAAATACTTTAATTTATGTGTGGGATCCTGTAATTTTTAGTGTATGATTTAGCACGCCTCAAATAAATTTGTATTTTATTTCACGTACTTTACCATCTCACTATTTTATTTTATTTAATTTTTTAAAAGTTTATTTATTTTTTAAAAGTTTATAAACTTTTAAGTTAACAACAAATGGTCCACCACCCTCTTTCATGTGCCAGACACACGGTTGGAGGCAAAGGAAAGTTCTGGTCCTTCTTGCTTGTAAAAAATATATATATTTTCAATTTAAAAATATTAGCTTAATTATACTATTTCCCCTACCTTAAATAACCAATTAAACTATTTGGTCAATTAATTTTTCATTTTGTGGTTCACATATTGTTACGGTGGAAACGGATGAATCAGATCGTAATTTGCGTTTTATAAACAAAAAAAAAACAATCACTTTTTTTGAAAGTAAAGAATAATTCTTACCATAATGTTATAAGACTTTTAGACAATTATTGCTAAAAAAAAGAGACAAAATTTAAAAAAGAAAGACTTTCGAACTCGTGTCGTAATTTAATAATAAAATCGTGTGGATAGAATGCATGAAAATGATGCATTTGTCATTGATAGGAAAGTGATATTTGCCATTAATTTGGTACACATGTGATGCTCATAATATTAATAATAATAATAATAATTCATAAAGATCAAAGTAGCTAGGTTTGAGGTTTGAGGTGTTAAGTTTGTTCCAATATAAACTTATTTAAATTTATGTAAGTATTCCAATTTGGCTATATTAAATTTGAACTATATTTTATATTCACAATCATCATGCAATAAACAATCATATACCAATTGAAAATTGATCTTGTGCACACATGGTTTTTATTTAATTGCTCTAAGTAAGTGTGTCTGCAATTATTGCCAAGATGCAGCACTTTCTCAAGTCTTACCGATAATTAATGATAGCCAAATTAAAGGCACCTTTTCCAATTTTAATGATCACTAATTATTAAACATTTAAAAACTTTCACATTGCCAATTTTGTTGCTTCTCATCATAAGGGAGGGATAAAATAAAATAATCTCATCTGTCTTATTACTATGCTCTCTATTGTTTTGCCTCATAAATTGGAAATTATAATTATAAAAATATATATTTTATAATATATGTAAAAAATATAATTTTGAAATTAATCGATTTCTGCTATGAAATGTCCATGTGGATGTCCAAATGAAGAGACACCATCACGTAATTTTTTAGTGAAATTCCTTATATTAAAAGGTGAAATTCTTCTCGACCCGGTAGATCATGATGACTCAATGACGCGCATTATGATAACGAATTTGGGTTTGCTCGTAAGGAACCAGCCATCATTGGAGTTGAAATTTTTCTCACATTGCTGTTATCACTACTCAACCGTAGGATCATGCACCAACTTACCAATCTTCGAACCAGTTGAGCTATATCGATGCGAGTTTCAGTGGAATTCCTTGTACTATATAAAAAGCACTGCTTTGTACACACTTTATGATATGGAATACTACATTTCTCTCCCACCTGCTTCGCTCTCTTCTTCTTGTATATTCTTTTAGACCTGGTTTTGTTGAGAAGATTAGTTATGATTAACTAAATACTATGACTTTGTTTGATGTTTGGTATCCCCAATAACTTGTCGGGTCGTCCTGCAAATATTATGTTACCATGGTTTGATGTTGCCTTCTAGGCATATTTCTAATTGGTTTATCAAAGTCCAATAATATAATTGAATTTCATTAGATTATTTGATTTTATCTTGGCAACCAAACGAGATTTAACAGTACAAAAATATGGAGGCCCAATTTATGTCTCTAATTACAAATTGGCCCATTTAAGCAACATCAAGATTCGAATAAATTACCATAATTTAGCTGAAATTGTTTAGGACAGCCCAATTCCATAACATTCTCCTTTTGGCCCAAATATTCTTTTTATTTTTTATTTTCCAATAAATAATAAATAAACAAATAAAATGTACGTGAAATTTATTTTTTAATACTAATTTTATTTTATCTAAATCCTGTATCTTTTCTCTTCATCATCTTTTTTCCTCATTTATTCGCCCCCTTTTTCAATTTCCTTCCTCCATTTCCAGATACTGGAACACGCACAAAACACACACACATACGCACATTCCTAATCAAATCAAAATCAAAATCAAATCCGATTCCTCTAACGTCAAGCAATTTTCAAGATTCCCCTAAAAAATTTCCCAATTCCTGCAGAAAATATCTCACATACTCATACCACAAAGAAAAAAAAATCCTGCTGCAAAGAAGAATATTAAATAATAAATAAATAATAGACAAACCCTTCATCTTCCCCCCTTGTGTGTAATTCGACGATCTTGCACTTTCCGTGAATTTCCTTTTTCGCGCAGGAAGAAAAATCGAGATATTTTCTATTATTCAACTGTTTTCTGATTTTCTTAGCATTGCGGCGAATATTTCTGAAATTTTTAGGGTTTTATTCCAGAGGCGTGATCAACTAGATATTTTTATTCTTGGGATAATAGGAACTTCTGTATTATGGTAGAGAACAGTTGGTGTTGAATACTATATATAGGTCATATGTAAATATATAGTTCTTGCGTAACAAGGGTTGGCTCTTCTTCTTCTTCTGATTACAATTTCGTAAACCTCCAGATTACGCGGTGTATTGGGTAAAAATTGCATTTGCTTGTTGTAGACTACATTCTGTAGGTGGTTTCTGAAGAAAATTGTGATTCCTGTTTGAATTGAAAGATAATACGCCGGGTCGATTATAGTTTTAGTAAGGTGTATAAGAAGGTAGTAGTGTATGGGAGAAAATGAGGTATGGGCTGATCCAGGTGGGCCATTGCCAAATGGGCTTTTGCCAGGGGCAGGTCCAGTAATGCAGGCCCTCGATTCCGACCGATGGATGAGAGCGGAGGAGAGGACTGCAGAGCTCATTGACTGCATTCAGCCCAATACTCCTTCTGAGGAGCGAAGGAATGCCGTTGCAGATTATGTACAACGGCTCATTATGAAGTGCTTCCCCTGTCAGGTTGTTGGAATGATTCAAGGGTGTTGATTAGTGTTTTTTTCTTAGTTGAATGCTGTTGTGTTAAGTGGCTGGAAATACTTTTTTTGCTAAATTATTGTGTGTCTGTGTGGCTGCACTGAAGTTTGATAGGATTGAAGGTTTCTTTACTGAGAATGTCGTTGCGCTTAACGTTTGATTACTTAGAAAACTTTAGGAATGCTTATATTTGGATTCCATTGAGGAAGTGTTTATAGTTTACATTTTCTTGATTTTAAATTGTCTGATGGAAGGCTCTAGTATATGCGTAATTGCATATGATACCTAAATATAATTGGTAAACTTGGGAATTTTTTGTTCTTATCGTCAGATGGAGTTGCGTTCTACGTGGTTGATTGTAGGAATAGAAAAGTGCTCACGGTATTTATATAAATGATACAGTAGCCGTTTTTATGATATCCCACAAATATAATTTGAATTGATCATTCTACAGAGTGGCTTCTCTGGGTTCTGGGATTGAAGTAACTCGTATAACATATCATGAAACTCAGAGATGATTGAAATATGTCGTTTCTGCTATTTATGGGAAGGGTTTATTTTGTACAAGTCCCCTTTAATAATGTTCTAGGTTTGCGTTAATGATATTCGTACAGTCTTCTCCTTATAGTTCTTCTTGCTGTTTTTCTTTTGACATTTACCAAATACCACAGGTCTGTACCTTTGGATCTGTACCCTTAAAGACTTATCTACCTGATGGAGACATCGATTTGACTGCATTCAGTCACGACCTGACTTTGAAAGACACATGGGCCAATCATGTTCTAGATATGCTACAGAATGAGGAAAAGAATGAGAATGCTGAATTTCATGTGAAGGAGGTTCAGTATATCCAAGCAGATGTATGCCCTCCCTCTTATACTACTTGTTGTGATTAATCTTTTTTGTATAATTTTCCCTTTTTTAGCTTGTGGTGTCTGTTATTTTCGTACATCCTTTATCTCAGCTTGACTTTTAACACCTCGGTTGCATCACAATCTAGTAGTATTGTGATAGAATACCATGAGGGTCGCAAGTGCTTCTTGTGTGTGCGCAGTGCGCTTATTCTTTATCTATCTGCAACAATGTTGCGAGATATAGAGAGGACTACTAGCAACTGAAACAAGCGACTGTCGAATTTTTAGACCTCAATATTAGGATGAAGGTTTGCCCATAAATTCAGGTTTATTGTTTTGCAGTGACTTATCCAAAGAGTTGCTGAACTTTCTATCTATAAGTCTCTATTAGGTTTTTCTTGCTATTTCCTACGGTTGCATAATATTAGTTTGGTCTCATCCTATTTTATGTTGCAGGTAAAAATAATTAAATGTCTTGTAGAAAATATTGTGGTGGACATATCTTTTAATCAAGTTGGTGGTTTATGTACACTCTGCTTCCTTGTCGAGGTGAGTAGTATTATATTAACTAACGCAAACAGAACATGAATTCTCGTGATAACAATATTTTCGATGTTGAATAAATTGTTATCTGAAGAAAACTTTCCTTGTTTTCTTTCCTAGGTTGATAATCTAATAAATCAGAATCATTTGTTCAAGCGAAGTATTATCTTGATTAAAGCATGGTGTTACTATGAAAGCCGTATACTGGGTGCCCACCACGGACTCATATCTACCTATGCCCTGGAGACTTTAGTTCTTTACATCTTTCACGTGTTCAACAATACCTTTCATGGACCTCTTGAGGTGAATTAATTCTTATGTATGTATATGCCCAACTCTCTGTCCCTGATTGCCCTTCTGAAACAACCTTGTCGCCTTCTTGCAGGTTCTTTATCGTTTTCTGGAATTCTTCAGCAATTTTGACTGGGACAATTTTTGTGTTAGCTTATGGGGACCTGTACCAATTAGTTCCTTACCCGATATAACTGGTAATAGAATCTTGGAACTTTTCATTTAATGTTCAAGGAAATGTAGTATTCCTTACTGATGGATATGACGTGCAACTTTTTTACAGCGGAACCTCCTCGAAAGGACGGTGGAGAATTGCTACTCAGCAAGGTGTTTCTTAATGCTTGTAGCAATACATATGCTGTTTTCCAAGGTGGCCAGGAAAATAATGGACAGCCGTTTGTTTCGAAGCATTTTAATGTTATTGATCCACTACGTGTGAACAATAACCTTGGACGCAGTGTTAGTAAAGGTAACCTTGAATGTGACTATCTCGGTTTCTTTTCTTTAGTTGATATGAATTACTTTCACGGTTACGTCTTATCTTTATTATCGTCTTTATTCTCTTTATTATACTGATCTATATATGTATTACGTATTCATATTCTTCTAGTTTACTAGTATTTCAACTCATCACTAAAACTGTTTGGCGTATGGTGGAGTACATGGGTATCTGTTGCATCTACCTGATTCCCTCGTTTTTAGTGAACATGAATATCATCGTATCTTTTTGTCAGGTAATTTTTATAGGATTCGAAGTGCATTTGCTTTTGGAGCTAAGAGACTGGCTAGATTACTGGACTGTCAGACAGAAAACATAGTTTTAGAAGTTAATCAGTTCTTCATGAATACATGGGAGAGGCATGGCAGTGGTCATAGGCCTGATGCTCGAGAGATTGACTCATCACGCACGAGATTATCGACTCCCGATGGTCGTCATGAATTTGGGAATTCTAGCAATAATACTAGTGGCAATAATGGAAATCAAAACTCTCACGTGCAAAGTTTGAAAAGTCAAAATTTAAATAGTATGCCAGTTACCGATCAAAGTGGAAGAAGAGAAAACCCTGCTGACGGAGTTCAGAGAGGTATGGAGTCTGATCATTTGGTGAACGACACTCAGGGCAGGTTTCTTTTTGCTCGAACACGCTCTAGTCCTGAACTTACTGATGCATATGGTAATGTCTCGTCTCGAGTACAGCGTAACACAGAAGCAGAAGCTGCAAATGCTCGTGCTACTCCTACTAGTTCATCTTTGAAGCATGTTCCTCCCCAACAAAGTCTTGACGCTGCTTCTGACTCCATTAGCGGTTTAAACAGCTATCATCTAGATTTACGTTTGGATGGTTCAAGTGAAGAGCTCTTGTCCACCTCTGCAGCACAGGTAATGTACCAGCAGGAGGAACAAGACATGGTGAACATGATGGCATCTGCTTCACTCCAAGGTTTCAACGGACAATTTCCGTTCAATTTAAACTTGGGTCATCTACCTTTCTCGATCCCGCCATCTTTTTTTGCTTCGATGGGATACAATCAACGAAATCATCCAGGATTTCTTCCTCCAAATATTCCTTTCATTGATCCACAGTTTTCAAATATGCAATTTCCTCATGGTTTAGTTCAACCCCAGATGGCTCATTATTTCCCTGGAACTGAGATTAATGCACCGTCTGAAGCATCTGACCGAAACAATGAGAATTCAGAAGAACTCGACAAAAATTTCTGGCAGGAGCAAGACGCTAACTCCTCTCCCAGCTGTGACCCTGAGAGGGGCAATTTTGACATTCCACAATCTGCTGATAAACCACTACAACAGGCATCTGGTTCAAAGTATGTTCCACCACCTCGAGTAAGTACCTCTGGTAGTGCCAAGAAGCATACGAGAGAAAAACGTGGATCTGCGCGAAAAAACGGTGATAGCTTCCCTATCCAGGATGATAGAAGAAGTGAGGTTCAAGCGGAAGAAAGGTCAGCGAATTCAAGGTTCTCATCAGCCACTCGTAGCAATTCTTGGAGAAGTAGAACTTCTTCGGAGAGCTCATGGGATGGATCATCAGTGAAAACGCCCAAGTCGACGAAAGAGAAATGGGGGAGGAAAATAGTTTCTACAGATTTAGCAACCAGCCATGGAAAAGGCAAAGTTATGTCTGAGCATGTGTCTAATCAGGCAGAGGAGGATGACCAAGAATGGGGTTCTTTATCGAACACGGGTACCGAAATTGTGGAAAGGAACAATATCCCCGGCTTTGAAATTGCTCAGACTAGCGGATCAGACTCGACAATTGCCTATCCTCCAATGCTCATCCGTCCAGGTTCGAGACAGAGAACGGATGATAATTCTGAGCTGATTACATTCTATCCTACCGGACCACCAATCCCGTTTCTAACAATGCTTCCACTGTACAATACTTCTGATGCATCAAGTGGCCATTTTGGAGGGGAAGAAATCTTGGAGAGCAGTGAATACGATGCTTCGGAGGATTTAAACCCTTCAAGTTCTTTGAGAGGGACAACCCCTACCGAAACTTCCGAAAAGAAAAAAACCGATATACTTAATAGTGACTTTATCAGCCATTATCAAAACTTGGAATTTGGGAGGCGTTGTCTAAATCCGCAATACCATGGTCCTGTAGTCTATCCTTCCGCTTCACCTGTAATGGTCCCTCCTGTTTATCTGCAGGGCAGATCTCCATATGATACCCCTGGTAGACCTTTTCCAGCCAATACAAACCTCTTCTCTCAGCTTATGACGAATTATGGCCAGCGTATGGTCCCTGTGGCTCCCATCCAATCAGTTTCTGGTCGACCTCCCAATATGTATCAATCCTATGTTGATGATATGCCAAGATATCGCAGTGGGACTGGGACTTACTTACCTAATCCTGTAAGAATCTTCTCTTATGATGATTGATTGTCTGCTTTGTGTATAATTTTTCGTCCTGTTTTGAATTGTGTCAGCATCTGTCCGTGTTATAGTCTTTTTTTCAACTAATTTATTACTTTCATTGGGAAAACTAACAAAAAATATGTCTCTCATATTAATGTTTGGTACGTGTGGTTATTGATCTGGGAAGTATTCTACATAGGGTTTTCATATTTTTACTATTGGATATGGATTAGATATTTATGAATTTTGCTGAAATGTGGAACTATTTGAGCATTGTCTCTTAATTTTTTCCTTTTTGTTTGCTTCAGAAGGTTTTTGTCAGGGATCGACACGCGTCTGGTACCCGAAGGGGAAATTATAACCACGAGAGGACTGATAACTACAGTGACAGAGAAGGAAACTGGAATGCTAATTCAAAACAACGAACTGCTGCTCGCAGCTATAATAGCCGCAGCAGCCAAACTGATAAATCAAACTCAAGAGCTGATCGTGCGTCTTCTAGTGAAAGTCGAACTGACCGTTCATACAGACAAGAATCAATTCCTTCCTACCAGTCACACAACAGCCCGTCGAGCTCAAATCCTAGTCAAAACGGTCCTCAAAACGTGGCATATAGCATGTATCCTTTTGCAGCCACAAATCCCGGTGGGGTTTCCAATGGACCCTCTGTTCCACCTGTTATGATGTTCTATCCGTTTGATCATAATAATGCTGCCAACTACGGTTCTCAGAGCGACCAGCTCGAGTTTGGTTCTCTTGGTCAAGCGGGCTTGCCAGGTGGCGATGAGCAATTGCAGCTAAACGAGGGAAATCGAGCCAGGGTGCTTGAAAACCATAGACTTTCACCAGACCAACCATCTTCACCTCATCATCAAAGGTAATGATTTATGAGATTTGGTAACTTGTTCAGCAAAGTAGACAACTGGAGCTGCTCTGTATTTTCTTGGCTAGTGATTACTTGTATCGACGGTGGTTTGGTTTTGCGCTGTTGTATGTATATACGTATATGATTTTTCGAATTTATTGCTGCAGTCCTAAAACATGATGTTTATTTGTTCACAATATCTGTAAAAACGAGGTTAGTGGAACGATTAGTTCAAACTGCAATGATTAGCTGTGGACCTAATTCGTGGCTAGTTACAGATTTTCCGCTGCTTTATTCATCAATCAGACTCTCAGGCACTATTTTTCGTTGTAGTTTTTTTTTCTAGGTATCATCGAAAAACTGTGATGTTTATAGCTTATCATCATTTTTCTTAGCAGGAGGGTTTGATGAATTTCAAGCCGCGTGGATTAAAGTGGCAATCGGTTGAAGGACGAGGATGTTGCACATCTCAAACATACTAAAATCGTGGTGGAAAAGCCGATTCCCAAACGGCAAATTGATTTTCACCACTAATTTTGACCTTTTCCAACATGTTATTAAAGCTAGGTATTGTATTGTATGTACCCTACGTTTTTACGGTTCAATACAAGAATGCTATCCATTCAGTGTGGTTCTTGTTTGTAAAATCGGTAAAAAGTCCACTCTCGAGAGACCCGGAAGCATGGAAAGGAAGGAGATTAGCTAGCTGGCTGGCAGTTTGCTCATATTTTTCACATTTTCATAGGCTGTGTAACACACATTGTAATAACATTGCACTTAGAGATTAGTGTCTTTGATTATACTTTTGTTACTAGGATATTTTCTGAGGTTCCTTTACAGAAATGTTGCTCAATGATAAAATCCCTATGTATTAATTAGCTTTATCAATGCCAGAAGAGAAATTTAGGTGGCAAGAGTTTCTGTTTCATCTGAGTCTGATTTAAGTTGCTTTTATTTCTGTGATGATAATAATTTTAATCAGTAAATAACATTATATATTTATTTATATACCAATAAACAAGGTTTCATGATTTTTATAATTTACAGAGAAAATAATTGACCTATTTCAACATCTCATACTGCAGGATGATTTTGTTTTAAACACCAGTCAATACTTTCTTACTGCCTTCTATATTATTACAAGTGTGTCTCCAAGCATGTGGTGATCTTGAAGTCAATAGTGGCCATAGCTGGTTCCTCTGTTTTCTTGCTTTCCTCACAACAATCCTCGTACGTTGTCTTATAACATCATTAACCGCCTTCAAATAATTGCTCGAATCGTGGTCCCTGATTATGGTACCCTCGGATCCATAAGCTGTGGGGTCACTCAAAGTTTCGATCGGATGAGGCGAGTTCAAGAATGCCCGAAGAGCACTGTTCGATAACGGGCTTTTAGTATCGTCCAACGCCCATAATGCACTACCTTGAGGAAGAAGTGGGTGATGCGGCGACGACTTCTCGTCGGGCTGAACAATGAACATCTTCCCCATAGGAGAGTACAACAGTTTCTGCAAAAAAATAAAAAGCAAGTATTGAGGACGAGGCAACATAGGGGGCCATGGGGGCCATGGCCCCCCTCTGCTTCTAAAAAAAATAGTTTTAACGAGATTTTGTTGTTTTTTCGAGTATTATAGTAAATGCTTACGTTCTTGTTAAGGCAGGGGTGCGAGCGAAAGGTGCCGTTTAAACGCTTGAGCACTTGAGCCACATAGTTTGGGTAGTTGCATGAAAACGCTCTCGGGACAATATCTCTATGCATCATCACACAATGAACGTGATTGTCATCCAATCCCAACCGATCCAAGATTTTGTGGCCCCCACAAAAGACAAAGGGGGACCCGAAAGTAACCACCGGAAGAAGAGCCGATCGGTCAACTTCGTTTCTTGTTAGAAGCATCAAGTTGACTAGAAGGGCAAGACTCCCGCCGAGCGAATGTCCCGTGAACTGAAGCTTCGCTCTGTCTCCAAATCTTGCCATGTGCCGTTTTATCTCCGGTAAGAATTGCTCGTATATCCCCTTTGCTGCTTCGTATATTCCTCTGTGAACTAGCACATCCGTCCCCTGTTTTTCATTTAAAAAATTATATAATGTTTTACATACTTTGAAATTTCGACATTGTTTTTTAAAAGAAGTTTGATGCAAAAATTTCACCTCGAATTTAGTTGGTTCGAAGAGGAGATTTGCCTGCCATGATGCCACTGAATCTGATCCCTACATTATAACATTATTGTCAATCTATCATTTCTCTTCATCGACTATAAAAGTGTGAATGTAAAACAAAGGGCTACGATAAAACTACCTGAATGACGAAACAACGAGTGTATATGCTCGAATCATCACAGACGAACCAATCGCACGGAGATAAATGAAGCGACTGAAGATCCTTTGCCGCCTCCTCCTTCTGCTTCTCCCCTGCCGCCACGACAGCTGTCATAGTCGATGCCGCCACACAAGCGGCCATTTCCGAGTTATAGACTCTTGGCGAAGCCCCATTATTTATTACACAATCATCGTTTTTCTCACCGAGTTGAGGCTCGGATATTAGGTCGTTGGCTCGGGATTGGACATAAGATGCTGCCGATGCTGCAATCTCGTACGCAGCCGATGAATTAAGACGGGGTAATTTCTCGGGGTTTTCTCTTTTAGTTGTAGTCTCTAAAACGGACACTCTAGTCGAATCTTGATCAACTTTTTCTTTAATGGCTTCTGCTTCTGCTTTTTTCTCCAATGAAGATGTCACAAATTCTAGTCCATAATATCTCCTTAAATCTCTTGTCTGCATGCAAGGTTTTACTCAGTTAGAAGACAAAAAATATGTGATTAAAATGATAGTACTATTACGGCTTATTGCGTTCGTCGCCCCTGTTTTCCTCTAATTCTTAAAAAACTCCGCATGATTCAGTTGTTTTAGCAAATTACCCCCAAAAAAGTTGCATTATAAGCGGGTTTTTGCTAATATTTATAACACGAGGAGTTTTTTAGCAATTTGATACAACACATGATGAATAATAAATGCAATAAACTCATTATTATTACCTTCATATCTTGGATCACATAAGCCATGTTACACAAGAAAGCCAACTGCGAGAAAAGCTTAGCGTCCGACCAAGAAACTCGTTTCAACAAAGACGAAAACGTTTCTCTATCGATCTCGATTTCTTTTCCGTTTTCATCTTCTTCGTATTCCACTTCGCACCCTTCTTCTTCTTCCTCATTTTCTCCTCCATCACCGACAACAAATTCATCACCATCAACACTGTTTTCTTGTTTCACCGATCTCCAACTATTCCGAAGCTCCATGAGACGTTCGATCCAATTCGATCGTTTCTGACCGTCGATCTCGATCTCGTCGACGTCATCATCACAATCACTATTTTCCTTCGAATTATTATTATTCTCCTCCTCCTCCTCCTCCGTATTGTTCATCTGTTTATCCGTTTCGGGATCGAAGAGGAAGGATTTGAGTGTGTCGGGAATCATTGCACCCGATAACTGTATGTTGAAGAATCCCATCGAACGGCTATTCTTGAGCTTCGGTTGTTGCTGAGCTGTCGAAGCCGCCCTTATGGGACTAATCGAGTAACATAGATGATTGTCCGAATATGAGCGTCGGATAGTGGATCTTCGGTGAAGATCATTGGTCGAAAACGAGCGACGAAGGCCTCTCTCTCCTCCCACACTAGAAACTTGAGACAAAGTGTATGCCATAATAGTAGTACACACAACACTTGTTTTCTAATGTAGCCTGAGAGAGGAGGAGATCAACAACAAGATTAGCATTCGCCTTTCTTTTTTAATGATATTTCATTTTTCTTTGAAACCAAATACACACAATCAAAAGGGACTTATAAAGAAGTCCTCCAAGGGGCAAAATGGTCAAAAACTCGACATCGGTTGCAACGAGAACCGGTAAGGAAGATACCCTTTTTCACAACGGTTAAATACACAATCAAGAAATACTAGTTTTGTATAAACATAATAGTGTTAAAAGTATATTAAAACACACACACACACACACACACACACACACACACACACACACACACACACACACATGAAATGAAAATACTAGTCTTTGAAAGTATATTCCAAGAAAATGGGCTTTGGGGGTATCGCCTGTTTGCCTCATTAGCATTGATATTACCAGTACTAGGTTAATCTAATCATATTTGTTTCAGGTGCTTTTTTTGTCGGAAGCATAAATATTTTTTGCATATTAATAGGGGGAAAACAACATTAAAACAATAATAAGGACAACTAAAATTGTATTTATGCAAGTGGCTCGAAAAATAAATAAAAAATTGTATTCAATTTGAAACTCAATTGTTATTTCACCAAGAGCACCACCATATTATATATACCAAGAATAAAATAAAAACAAGAATTAATTAATTAATAACGAGAAAAATAGTAATTAATTTAGTAACAGAAACAATAGAAATCAAGAACCAAGCAAAGGAATAGCATCACATTACCTTTAATTTGAAGAGCCAAATTCTTGCTTCAATATATATACAGGAACATATTCACGAGACTTGACGAAACTGCACAAACTAACATTAATGTAGAATAAATTAAAACTACATGTATATATACAGTGTATTTGTGTATGTATTTATAAACGAGGTTGATATATCTGCAAATTAGCTAGAAAAAAGTTGCTACTTTCTGAGGCATTTGCATTTTTTATTCTTTTTTTCTTTCTTTATGTGAGATCTGAAAATGTAAACATATACACATATATATGGTTAATGGCTTTTATATATATATATATATATACATACATGCACAGATATACAGGTGGTGGGTGGGGGTGGGTGCAGGGAGGAATCTGTCTAGAGAGAATAAACTCACATGGACATCGAGGCTTGCCACCTTTGAATCTGTTTTTTTTGCTGGACGGTTTTGCCCTTGAAGTATGAGTACAATTCCATGCAAGTCCTCTTTCTTGATTTGAAATAATGATGCACCGTAACATAAGCACTAACTATAGATCTACAATAGTTTTTGTATACCCCAAGAAAAGTAGTTTTTTTCTCTTTTTGTCAAATTACGGCCACCCTCTGAAATAAAGTTAAATTACGAAAAATTCCATTAGGCTAATTATAATTATGCTTCTTAACTATGTATTTCATTACACGTCCATCTTTACAATATCAAATTTACCTACTGAAAGAAGAATTTTTTTCGTAAGACAATACTCAAACGATAGGAGTTTTTTTTTTTTCTCATCATAATTTGACCTTACCTAAGGGGTTGACCGTTATTTGCCATTTTCTTTTTCCATGTTAAAAGATGGGTTGTAATTATTTGACATCCCTTTTTTTAGAGACTAGTAATGGTTGAAAATAACTCTATTATATCTAAAAAAATAAATTCTCAACTCTAAAGTTAAGAAAATCTTAATATAATAAACACTAATTATCAATTAACAATTTTCTCATGACAGAATAAAATGTTGATATATCTAATTAACAAGTTATGACCCACTTCGAAAATATTGAAAAAACGTTCGAAAGTTGTTAATTCGACGTTAACAATGCCAATTCGATGAACGGACTCAAGATAATCTGGAGTAATTTGATTCATCAATCACTAAAAATAACCATCTTCCTAGGACACCCATGTTAATTAGTGTGACATGTAAATAAACGATTTAAGAAGGGCAATTAAGTAAATGAAGGTTCTAGAATCTAAAGGGGCAAAACGGTCAA